GGTCAGAGGTTGTTCTGGACACTGAGCATTCCACAACCATCTGGCTTGTAGGTCAGAGGTTGTTCTGGACCCTGAGAATTCCACAGCCATATAGCTTGGAGGTCAGAGGTTGTTCTGGACCCTGAGCATTGCACAACCATCCAGCTTGGAGGTCAGAGGTTGTTCTGGACCCTAAGAATTCCACAGCCATATAGCTTGGAGGTCAGAGGTTGTTCTGGACACTGAGCATTCCGCAACCGTCCAGCTTGGAGGTCAAAAGTTGTTCTGGACACTGAACATTCCATAACCATCCGGCTTGGAGGTTGGCAAACATTTTCTGTAAGGTCCAGGTGGTGGATATTGTTGGCTTTGCAGACTGTAACTCAGCACTCTATTTAAGGGACTGGGCAGTGGTGGCAGCCAGGATGATACTCACCCGCTGGGACACCTGTGGCAGTGCTGTGTGAGGCACTGGCAGCAGGAAGGTTCTGACGGTGGAAAGAGGAGGGAATTCCTAGAGAGCTGCTTCCTTCCCTCAGTGACATGAGAGGCACAATCACTGAGAGAACCAGATCGTCGGAAGTGGAGTCTGATGGTGCCAGCTGTCAGGAATGACATCCCTGTGAACAATGTGCCACCAACAAGGGTGACAGTAAGGAGGTGGACAGAGAGAGTGAAGCAAGGGCTGAGGTCATCAGCCAAAGAGGAGAGCAGGGTCGGGGGGACCCCACGATGTCTGAAGGTGGGAGCCTGCCTCTAAAACGTTTCACCTGAGTGCTGTTTGTGAGACCTGTTTGAAGTGAATTATCTGAAACTAGATTTTATTAATAGATAAATGTATCTCAGCCCAAAGACTAGACATCGGGTACCAAGGGGGTGAAGGACTTACTTAGTCCTGCTCTGTTCCAAGCATGGCTTGGCCCGGATGAGACCAGGATGTGTCTCACTTGGTCTGTTGCCCAAAGCCTCTCTCAATGCTCCCTTTGCACATGGACCTGCTGTCACGGTCACGTCCTTGCTGCTCGCAGAGAGCTCTGGGGTTCTCCTCCCTGCCAGCTGAGGTCCCCAATGGGCACTTGGTCTCCACCCTGCAGCTGGCCACTCCCTCCGGGCCGCTGCCCGCCCTGGCCTCAGATGTGGGTGCTAATGTGCCCCAGGGTTTGTTTCCATGTAGCTGTCTCCTAGAACTCAGGAATCTCAGTAGCTTAGAGCTAACAAACCCTGAGGGTCTTAGGCCCTTTAAGCCAGGCTCCTGCTTAACTCAGGAACTCTCTCTCAACCTGTGGCTTCCTGGTCGACAGCCCGACAGCTTTTCCCTCTATATGGGAAGGAGTTTCATCCCGAGAACCGACATCCCTCTCAGATGTTTGTATTTTTAGTCGTCCGTACCCATCTGTTTTGAAGTCGCTTGAGCACATTGGCCTTTAACTTTCTCTTTCTCATCTGCCTATAATAGTTTTATCTTGTCTTTTGTTAGATGACACTGAGGTTAGTGATTTTGTGACAGTTAAATGTCACCAGTTCTCTTTATTATTAGCCCTGGTGTTGCTCTGAGCAGCAGTGATTTGACACCTCTGATCATGCAGTTTTACGCTTTGAAACTCATACAGTCTCAGCTAACGATTTCTCTCCCATCGAGGCATCCTGTGCAGGTGGCACCTTTAAAGTCTGTTTCCCTTGCAATTTATCCTATGAAGAGATTATGATTCTAGAGTTCAGGTCTTGGCTCTGGAGTAAGCTGTTAGCTGTGGACCTTTAGCAAGGCCCTGAGTGTTCCCCTTAGATTTCTTACCCATGTGTCATTAGCTGAAGACTCTGGGGCGGGGTGACTGGCTTTGACCTGGGCACTCCTAATCCTGATTATGTGGTCAGGGTACAGCTCTTTGTCAACACTGTGAACTTTGGTGGGAAGAGCAGGGTCTCCCGGGACATCATGACCTGGGGTGGTTCTCAGCCCTGTCACATCTCAGCTCCCTGTCTCTGTGAGTTGTTTAACCTTTGCTGGCCTCCTCGTCCTCAGCTAGAAAGTGGCATAGTCACTGGCACCCGTGTTGAGTGAGGGTCAGAGGCATGTGAAGCGTCCAGCGGTAGCTGCACTCAGTAGGTCAGTGAAGGTCACGTCCCCTTTCCTTTGTGCTGGGGCTTTTTATTCTTGTGTCTGGGCAAATAGAAGTCGCAAGGCCTTCGTGATTCCCGGGTCACTCTTCACACTCCAGAAGGTTGGGAACATTTTCAGAATGTCTCAGGTAAGCTGCTCTCACCTGAGTGCCACTGCCAGGATGAGCATTACCACGGCTGGGACAGCTGGGACACAAGCGGTGAAGAAAGGAGTTAGGGAAGAAGCTAAGGGGTGTTTAGAAAATAGCAGAAAGAAAGAAGGCGAGAGGACAGGAAGGGGAGGTGATGGCGGAGGAGGGAGAAGGCGGAGGCCCTGGTCCAGGGTGGAGTCACCAACCCTCCCAGAGCCAGCCAGGCCACGGGTGTGCAGAGCCCAGAGCAGGGGCTGCGCATGTGGCATGAAGGGGCCCGTGATTCCAGCCGGCCTCTCTGATTAGCCTGCAGCCCAGAATGGCTCCTTAGCCTCTTAGCACTCAGGCTTCAGCTGGGGAAACCAACAAGCACCTGGGTCAGCGCTGCTGTCTGAGTTCCCGCTGCAGCTCCAGGTGGGGTTTGGAGGGATCAGCCCCCTCATGGGACAGGTGGACACGTGGCCGACGGTCTGTGATGGCACTGCCCGCAGGGCTGGCCCTGGACCCAGCTCTCCACTGCTCACAAGCTGCTGCACAGTGAGTGGCCACCTGGGCCACCCAGTCTGCTGGTCCCCATGCTCCCTCCTCACCCTCTGCTTGTCTCCTGTTATCTGGCTGCTGGGACTGCATTTTCTAGAAATTCCTATTTGGCTAAATGGAACTTTCTGCTGCAGGAGAGACCTTGGTGTAGGCTTACCTCAAACCCACTCTAAGTTTCACTGCTGAGGAAGTCAGGTTGGTGCCACTGAAGCCTGTTTTCAGTTGTTTCTGTTGGGTCCGATCCTGGCTGGGTCAGGACAGATCTGACTGAATGACATCAGGGAGGTGACACGTTTCCACATTCACAGGCACTCATACTCACACACATACACACACTCACACACATACACACACTCACACATTCACGTACTCATACTCACAGTACACCCTCACACGCACTCACACACATACACACTCACACCCTCTCATGCACTCACACTCACACACTCCCTCACACACACACACTCACACTCACACACACACCCTCACACATGCACTCACAGTCACACACATTCTCACTCACACGCACTCACACATCCTCACATGCACTCACACCCACACACATATCCTCACACTCACATGCGCTCACACATTCACGCACTTATACACACTCACACACATATACACTCACACCCTCTTATGCACTCACACACGTACACAGCCTCACACATGAATTCACACACTCACATGCTCTCACACTCACACATATACACACACTCACAACCTCACACACAAATTCACACCCTCACACGCATTCACACACATCCTCACATGCACTCACACTCGCACACATCCTCACACTCACACATGCACTCACACTCACACACAGCCTCACACTCACACACATCTTCACACATGCACTCACACTCACACACATCCTCACACATGCACACAGAAGCAGATTATTCAGTCTCCTTGTGACTATGTTTGGTTGACTGCCTCAAACTAGCCACATCTGACCATTGGCTTATGAGCTGTGGTTATTCCTTCTATCAGCTCGGCTGTGTTTGGGCATTAAATAGATATCGCCTGGTCTGGACATTTGTTCATTCATCATTTGGCAATTTTTAGAAGCCTGTTACATATTACGTGCTGTACTAGGTATGCAGAATATTAAGATAAAAGAAATAGGTCTCCCCTTCAAGTAGGTCATTGTCTAAACAAAAAGCAAGTGATTAAACCATACCATGGTGAGGGGTGAGTTCAGGGATGGACATGCATGTGAGGCTTGGCACTTGTATGTGTGCATTTTTCCAAGACAGATAAAAGTGTTTTTACTTATGATTTATGCCCTTCCTTTTCCATTGAGAATTCTTTGTGCATTCCAATTAAGAAACAATAACCACACATGCTTTCTTTGCGTTATTTTATTAATACATGGTTTAAGAGTGAGTTAAGAAATCAGTTTCCACAAAGTTATGATTTAATAAAAAAAAAAATAAAAAGAAATGAGTTTCCCCATCATTTTGGTTTGTTTCTTTGTTTGGAGTTTTGCTTTTATTTTGGGTCATTTTATTCCCTTTTAAGATAGGGTCTTGCTCTGTTGCCCAGGCTAGAGTGCTGTGGCATCACTGTTGCTCACTAAAGCCTCAAACTCCTGGGCTCCAGAGATCTTGCCTCAGCCTGTGAGCAGTTGGGATTACCGGCACCTGCCACCACACTCGGCTAATGTTTCTATTTTTTATAGAGATGGAGTCTCACTATGTTGCTCAGACTGAGGTGGTCTTAAACTCCTGGCCTCAAGCAGTCCTCCCACTTCAGCCTGACAAATTCTCATCATTTTTTAAAAACTCATTTTTAAGTTCACCCTATTTTTTCTGACGTTTTGGCCATGTTCATTATTAAACAAAAGAAAAAGAAAACTACATTGTTAAACAAAAGAAAAAGAAAACTACTGGGGTACAAAGAAAATTGAAATCAACCTCTGACCCTGTTCTCCCAGAATCATTACTAAATGCTGAATTGTCTTTTAAAGATGTTCTATTGTGCAAATATACATTAAAATATGGGTTTTTTTCCCTTCAAAACAGAGCCTACTGGAATGGTAGATGTCTGGCACATGAAACGACGCATTGACCACAATAGACAACAGATTTCTCTTTTCTGGAAGGTGAGTTTTAAGTGTCAACTTAGATCTCAAGGGAATTAAATATTTAAATAGTTAGTTTTATGGCAGAGGAAAAACCTGTTTGCTTAGTGCAGGGGTCCTCAAACTTTTTAAACAGGGGGCCAGTTCACTGTCCCTCAGAGCTTTGGAGGGCCGGACTGCGGGCCCCGGGACGAGTCAGCTGCTAAGCAGGACAGGCAGTGGTGGCAAAAACACCTGGTGGGCCGGATAAATGTCCGAGGTGGCCTGAGGGCCGTAGTTTGAGGATGCCTGGCTTAGTGGGTTGGAGACAAGGCTGTAGGGTGGTGCTGGAGCTCGTCTTCACAGACATGTTAATGACACAGGGCATGATGACATTCACCTTGGCAGGTGAGGACGAGAGCTCCAGCTGAGCCGTCCCTTTCACCCTCATCCTTTCTTCACGGCTCTTTCTGTCCACCAGGGGTCCTACCCTCTCCCTCACGTCTGCCCTCCGACCCATCACACCGTCTCTTCTGACTCTGGTCCCCTCTCTGTCCACCTCCTCTCTGTCTTGAGTAAACCTGTCCAGAGGTGACCACTCCACTTTACACGCTCACTCCAGAAGTAAAAGACGAGAAAGCTGTGGACATGGGTCTGTAGGAGTCTGGTTTTTAAATCAGTGAAATGGAGAGGGTGGAAAGAAAGCTGCTATCCCTCAGAAACACCAATAGTGGTAGAAAACGACCCAGATGGAAACAGAAAGCAGCTTTTCCTCAGAAATAGTAATCAAACAGAAGGAAATTGAACAACCTTCCAGGAAACCAGGAGGCCTCATGTCAGCACAGAGCAGCCGAGTCTCACAGAGCAGGCAAGCTGGCGGGCACCAGCATCCCCCTTAGCAGATGAACAGACCAAGCCCCAGAGACAGAAGGGCTTTGCCCAAAGTCACCCAAAGTCACCCAACAACCAGGCGCAGACCTGGGACGGGAGCCTCCTCCAGAACTGTCCCCACCATATCCCCACTTGCCTTTGTTGAAAGAAAAGTCTCTGGCTTGGAGTTGAGGTCCTGGGCGGGGTGCTCACGGGAGAGGTTCCCACAGAACTTCCCCTCACGTCCTAAATCTCACACCCCTCTCACTACACTCTTACAGTTCAGGGTAAATAAGCAGCGTGGGGTTAGGAGCCTGGAGAGCACAGGATGTGAGCGGCTGGAACTGTGGGGCGAGGTCCCCACTGGCTGTGCGTGGGGCGGGCGGGGGGGTGGGCTTTGGGGACTGCCTCTCCCTCAGTTTTCAGAACCAGCTCTTCCGCCCCTTCTGCCCCACCCCCTTGACAAAAAATGTCTGGTGTAAGAGGAGACTGCTATAAATAGCTTGGTGAATCACCATCGGGCTCACTTTAAAGCTAACGCTGCAGCTCCAAATACATTTTAAAATAAAATCACTTTTAATAGCGAGACAATTCTCAAAGCAGGAAGTTCAGAGCAGCCATGATTTGTGAATTGCATAGAAGGATCCAGTTCAGTTATTTCATTTTCCCAAGTAAGTTACTGATTAACCCAAAATTCCTCCTCCCATAGAAAGATTTCTCCTCCAAAAATGTCCCCAACAATGGTCTGGAAAGATGGGCTGTGTAGATCTGTTTCGTTCCTTTCCACTTGAGGGTCTTGCTCATAGAATGAGGGTAAATTTGGCCCTGTGGGGATCAGTGAATGAGAGGACAGGAACACGCACACCCCAGGACCACCACGGTAGCCCTAAATGGCACTACAGCACGGATGCATATCTGAGCCTGTGCTTCCAACTGGCAGAGTTTGTGCCAGACATCGTCATGGTCACCGGAAACCAGTGGTCAGGACACGTGTAAGTTCCTGGTGTCGCTTAGCGAATGCCCATGTGCAAAGCCTTCTCTGCTGCCCATCTCGAGTTCCCTCCTGTCTTCACAAAGCGGCCTCTGGGACTTCATGGTGGGGCTTTTACCTGTGAGCAGCTCTGGGAAACCAGATGTAGAGACTCCCACCACTGCAGAGAGGGGACGTTAGGGCCTGACATCAGAGGAAGCCCCAAGGAAACCCCCGCCGCTCTGTGAACAGAGACAACCCGTTCCTCCTGACTCTGCAATGTGAGGTACTTTCACTCCCATGGGATGTCCACGCTGGAGGGGACGGCCTCGGGCTGGCGGAGTGGGAGTGTGGCTGTGAACGTGCCTGTGTGTGAGTGTGAGCATGTGTGAGTGTACTGAGGTGAGCGTGTGTGAATGTGAGCATGTGTGAGTGTGAGCGTGTCTGAGTGTACCGAGGTGAGCGTGTGTGAGTGTGAGCGTGTGTGAGTGATAATGGCGTTGCAAGTGAAGGAGCCCTTGGCTTTGTTGCTATGGTTTCCCCACACTGGCAGGTAGCTAGTCATTTTTCCAAACCTTGGTTTTTTCTGAAAGCTCCATTTCTTCAAAAATATCCTGTCAACTTTTTAAAGAAATCATAACTATTTTTAAAAGGAAAAATATTTTCAGTGTCTAAGTCAAAAAGTACAACCTGATCTATGAAATGAAACAAAAACACTCGGATGTTTTTAAAACAACAAATGCAGTTAACAAGCAGAAAAACTTTCTCATCCACAAACAGCTCCCGCTGTTCAACCCTTCCCGGGGCTCTCAGCAACCCCGTCCCTCAAACGCCCTCTATTACCTTCTGCACAGAGTTTCCAGTGGTTTGCTTTGATCTGTGGCTCCAGTGCGCTTATCCTCCAGTTAAAACGTGTGTAGCACGTACCTTTTAAGAAGAAAATCACCTCGACTCTGTATATGAGTAATGCATGAAAAAATTATGACAGTGAAGCAAAGCCACATTTACCTTGCCATGGTAGTTTCCTCTGTTAACTTCTTTTTTTCTTTTTTTAAATGTATCACAGTATTAACAATGCTTTATTTATTTATTTATTTATTTTTGCAGTTTTTGGCTGGGGCTGGGTTTGAACCCACCACCTCTGGCATATGGGGCCAGCGCCCTACTCCTTTGAGCCACAGGAGCCACCCCCTCTGTTAATTTCTTTACAGTCCTCTTATTGCCTTAATCGTAGCAAATCACAAAACATTCTGAAATTTGAGGGCGTGAGCCTGAAAAATCACTCCCTGTATGCAAGTCCAGCTGAACTCACTCCCACATCCCGATAAATAACACGTGGACACTCCTCCTTAACATTAGCCCTGTGTCACATGGGAGGGTGTGGAAACAAGCCCAGTCCCCATGTCCTGGTGCTCACAGTCCACTAAGGGGGCAGAACAGGACCAGGGTGAGGGGGACACTCCCAGCGTTGAGGGGCAGTTCAGGGTTCAGCCAGGGGGAGACGGTGGGGTCTGCCCATTGGAGCAGGGCCGTGGTGAACGGCTGGAGTGACCCCAGAGGAGCAGGTTAGCTGTGACAAGGGTGGGATGGCATTTGGGACTGTGGATTTGGTGTGGAAAGAGTCACTTTAGGAGAGCACTGTCCTACAGGAATATGAAGCAAGCCACAAATACAAGCCACAACTTAAATAATAAAAAGAAACAGGTGGAATTAATTTTAATAACATATTTTATTCAACTCAGTATATCCAGACCACAGGATATCCCAAAAGTCACCCATGAAGTTGCCATACATAGGCAAAACGGGAAATCATAGCTAAATGTACCTTTATTTACAAAATGTTCATTACCAAATTTTACAAAGAGATGACCAACACGTAGAGAATGTTTGTAAATATTTTATAAAATTTGATAGTGAATATTTTGTAAATAAAGGTACATTTTAGCTATAATACCCCATTTTGCCTGTGTAAGGCGACTTACTCTGAGCAACTTTGGGGACCACTTGTACATATTATCATTTCAACATGTAACCAATGTTTACAATTATTGAGATATTTTACATCCTTTTTTTCCTAGTAAGTCTTCAAAACTAGAGTGTCTGCTAAGGGCAGGTGCCATGCCAGGGTAAGGAGCTCACCTCCAGGCAGCAGCTCCTGTTGGCCCGACGCCTGTGGCTGGGGCTTCTCTCCCGTCTCCGGCAGCACGGCTCCTGTGTTTGAAAGCAACACAGAGAGTTTAGACAACTCTTGGTTCCAAAGGTGGGGGAAGAATTTGGTGCTTTTCATTAATTTGCAAAGACGGTGGATGGGCTAATGGAAGCCAGAGCCTGGAACGATTTCAGTACCGTGTTTTTTTTTTTTTTTGGCCAGGGCTGTGCTTGAACCCTCCACTTCTAGTACATGGGGTCGGCACCCTACTCCTTGAGCCACAGGCGCCGCCCAGTACCGTGATTTTTAAACCTTTCCTGTGAGGGTTCTTTTGAGTTACTTCTTCATTTGGACTGGAGTTGATGAAGACAGTCATGAGTTGTGAAATGAGGTGCCCAAGTTTAAACTCAAGACTCTGGGTAGTTTATAATCACCTGTGTGGTGGTGAAAAGGCTTTCACAGAGCACTGTCATGTAAGGCAAGAGCCAGGGTGGTCTGGCCCTCCGTGTGCTGGGAGGAGGGTCCTGCACGTGTGACAGCAAAGGTGCCGTCCTGATGATTCACATATCACTTCAGAGTGTCTGAGAACAGAGAAGTTGCCAAGAGACGGAACATCTTTCATTTGCCCAGCACTATTCAAAACGCTGGACCTCCTGTGAGTCACTGAGTGCTCCGACGCTGGACCTCCCGTGAGTCACTGAGTGCTCCGACGCCGGACCTCCCGTGAGTCACTGAGTGCTCCAACGCTGGACCTCCC